CTGGGGTATGACTAAGGAACAGTACAGCGTGAAAATCACGCGGTTGTTTTAATTGATTCGTTAAGCGAGACGCGCCACCTAACGCAAGGGCGACTAAATTACTCTTGTAACGTGAGTGTCAAATTTGAGGGTTCAATCACAAACAACACCTAGGTCCCTCAGTTCACTAACACGTGACAGCAGTTCGCCATGATAACTGTTTGGATAAAATATATCGTGGGTCTTGCGAGAATATGTGATTACTATTGATTTAGAATGATTCAAATAGAGTTCATTGTCTAAACACAAATAACCGAAGGAATATGAGTCATACTGAAGAGGGATGCAATCCTCTATGGTCGATATTTCTTGTAAATTTAAGTCATCAGCGTACTGTAGAAATGAAGAGTTTGATGCAACCTGAGAGGCACCATTTACAAAAAATATTAAAAAGGAGGGGACCCAAGACAGATCCCTGAGGCACTGCAGAGCTTGCCTTCTACTAGGACGAGGTAGTATTGTTGACACGGACGTAAGCTTGGCTATAGGATTTGCGATGACATCAGAAAGACGCCGAGCTCTGATTGGCTCTAATTGAAAAATAGTGGGTAGACCTCAAAGCAAGCTGCCTTGAGGTCTACCCACCAGTGTTGCGGAGTTGCCACTCCGGAGTTGGAATGATTCCGGAATCATTCCGCGATTTCACGACCCCGGAATGGAATGGGAATGGAATGGCGGCAACGTTGAAGGGAATGGAATGGGAATGGAATTAGGTGCCTTTTGCCCCGAATGGAATGGGAATGGAATGGGCACGTTTTTCTTTTTTGTTTTTTTGTAGTGTTTACGGTCAGCTAAACCGAGCCAGTCAGTGAGTCAGTTGCTCAGAAATAAAATGAGCAGGAAACTGCTAGCCCACGAGGAGCCCTAACAGACTTATACGCCAACAAAATGCAATACAAAAAAACAAGCGTCAAAGCAAAGAGCAAAGGGGGAAAGGGGGGTAACGTGGCGCCTTTCACGGACGCGCAGGCGTCGGGCTTCGATGGCGTTACACGGGAGCGAAACAAGAAGCCAAGCATCAAGCGAAAGAAAAGGGAGCGGCAAAGAAAGAAACCGCCATGCACAACTCCTCATCGTACTTCTTGTCATGCTTTTTTTGTTGTTGTTGCGACGGTTTGTAAAATGCATGCGCGCACAGACTGAGGTCTGGGAGCGGAAGCGACTCATAACTCGCAAAGTTCTGATAACTCGTTGACTTGGGCGCCGTCGAAAGATGATCAGCTATTGTTTTCTTATAGTTCGAGGCGCGTTGTTCAGCAGGCAGCCAACCCTGCTGCCTTCCACGTTCATTCGTGCGCACTTCTTTGAAGTGCGAAATGTGGGTTTGCTTCGGCATTAAAACAAAGCGAGATTCACTCCCCTCTTCTCCTCTTGCGCTTTGCTCCGAGGCTTGTTTTTTTATACTGCATTTGTATTGCATGTCCGCCTATTACTTGGTCTTTGCTCCGATGCTTGTTTTCTGTATATTATGTTTTAGTTGGTTGGGGTTAAAAGCAAGCTAGCGGATTCCCGCTAATTTCCCTTGACTTTAGTCACTGCATACTTTGTTTCACCTTGCGATGGACCGCTGCGGACGCTACGAGTCACTCTAGGCAATCCAGTACCGTGAGCGGGACTGCAGGGTGACGCAGCACTCAGAAAGCACTGGATTGGTTTTGATGGCTCTCGTGCTGTCTGTTGAGGTCCATCGTAAGGTGAAATAGACTATCGTCTCCGCTCTTGGTGTGACCGAACTGACTAGACCTGCAGAAAGACCGTCCCGCGCCAGACGAGGTGCGACCGTTGCTGTGAGGGCAAGTGAGAAGGAGAGCTGGGTGCTAGCTGCCACTGAGGTTTTGGCTTCCGCGCGTCTCGGCTGTCCGGTCTGCATTCGTGCTCCTTGTCCTGGACGGTGGACCCTATTTGAGGTGGTGAGATGTCAGTTGAACGGTGTTAATGAGGAAAAACGGGGAGTTTCAATTCGAACGGTGCGGTATTACCACGTTAATTGTATCTTGATGTGAAGAGCTTTGTCAACGCTGACTTCCCGACCCGTCGCCACTACGCGAACAACCGACACCGAGGTAGAAGAATGAATCGGTTGGTACCGTCTGCTGCCTGAACCCGCTACTCGATCAGCGCGAAGAGGAACATCACAATTCGGACTAGAGGACAAGATAAATACAGATTGAGCCATGGCATCGTAGAAGACATTTTTCTACATTAGTCGCGAAGAAAATAAACAAGCTGCACGCTGAAAGTTGTGCAACGAAACTATACACGGTGCAGCCGGCGTATATCATCGAACTTTATTCGCCGTCTGAAGAGGAAACACGAGAATGAGTATGCGAAGGGTGGAAAAGGGCAGGCGAACCAGCCAAAACTTCAATTGAATATGATAAGAAATATCGAGATTCGTAAAGCAAGCGTGAACTTATGCGTTCTAAAACAGGTTTCGTGACATGGTTTATACGGTCCCTCGTGCGGCGCCGCAGGGGTTGCATATTGTCAGAGGATGTGCTCTGCCGCTGTGCATGGAGTCGCTTCCAGCAGCGCACTAGCCGTGTTGCTGTATTTGAAGGACAGTAATATAGCTTATTCCTGCACCACGCACGAACTGGATATTTTTTATGGTCTTATCAAACAAACACGCTGGCCGCGTATGTCTTAAAGGACAAATGCAAAAAAAAGTTAAAAAAAGAAAAGAAAATGAGTGGATTTAAGTTTTGCTGTTTGTTGCGAGCGACGTGGTCGCGAGACCGATGTCTCAAACAAGCATTGACATATCAAGGGGATTTCTCGGTGTTTGCAGTACATTGTAAATAAACACTTTCTGCCACCAGCGGTCCGCTTAGTAAAAATCTGTGCTTTTTTGAGGAATTTAGCTTCTTTTTTTTTTTTGCAATCGTCTCTGCATTTGATAATGTCAGCTTTATGCTGCTTATGCCGGCAACAAAATGTAGCTGTCAAGTGCCAATTTTTACGTTTAGGAATTAAAGGAATGGAATGGAATGATTTAGCCATTCCAAGAGTGGGAATGGGCTCAGTGTCTCCATTCCTAGGAATTGAAAGGAATTGAATTATCGAAAACTCTAATTCCCCGGAATGGAATTGGAATGGAATGGGGGTGCCCATTCCGCAACACTGCTACCCACTATCCTTCATTCAGAACCAATCAGAGTTCGGCGTTCTGACGCCACCACAACCCCTGCAAAAGAAGCAGACGAACTTGCGCTCCGCATAGCTTTTTAACAAATTGTATACCGAACCACATACTCCGTAAGAGGAAAGCTTGAATAAGCGGATGTTGTGGTTGGCTACGTCGAAAGCCTTACTCAGGGGAAAAAAAACAAAAAAAAACATCAATCTTACTTCTACTTCAAACTAAGATGCAGCAGACTTAAAATATACGAGATTGGTAGTTATCGATCTGTCATACAAGAAGCCATGCTGATTATGAATGATTAAACTACAAACCTGGAAGGAGAGAAATCGGTGGATGGCCATTTCAAAGAGTTAAGAAAAAGAAAAGAAGAGAAATCGGTCTGGAATTAAGCACGTCATCATTATTTTCAGAGTACAGGACCGGAACAATCACTGCCACTTTCAAGTCGTTAGGAAATATTTGTGACATCAAGGAGTAATTAAAAATTGTGCAGAGTGTAGGCATATATAATTCATGATAACCCTCAACAATTGCAGCGGGTATCCCATCATGACCTGCAGACAATGTGTGTCTCATTCCTTAATAGATAGACTAACACAGTCCTTATCGAAAACCACAGAATCTAATGGGTCCCCAAATCTATTCCAGTAAGGCGGAATAGTTCAGGAGCAGTTATTATTATTATTGGAGGCTGACTCAAAGTAATCCGCAAACAAATCTGCATCAAGGTTGAGAAATCTGCCTCCCAAAAGCCCTTGGGTCCTTCTGCGTGAGCAAGGGCATCCATTGAGATACGGATTTGTAAAAAAGAAAAGGTAAACAAAGACAACAAAACAATACATTTGAATTTAATGTTTTCTCGACATTCAATCTTGAATAACAGTTATACCGGACGCTTACTTTATAATTATACGATAATTTTCTTCAAACATTTATCCCGCATTAGTCGAAAATCAACAAAGCTATCTGCATTACAAATGCAAGCATCACGTGCAAAGTATAGCATAAAGGAAATAGGAGAATCGTAAAAGGGATCCATATACAAAAATATTCGAAAATATCAAAAGAGCAGTCACGATTCCCAACAAACTACACATGTGAGAACGTGCTATAGCGAGAGATAACACAGAAGTGCAATCAATGAACTAACACATTTAATCGATATAACCACATGATAATTCGTAAATAGTTATGCGATACCGTACTATGGAACGTTAAAGAAGGCATTAAAATTTCAATTCCAAGTTAATTTGATTTTGGAGTGAAGAGACGTAATGAATAAAAAAAAAATAGTGAGAACGACTTGTTAGTCTTCATTTACTTGAGTAGACCATGTTTTCATTTTATTTTTTTACTGAAGTTAAGGGGTGGAGAGTGTGTAGATATTCCGAAATTCGGTATGTGGGATATCAAAATGTCGCGCAAGTGTGCAAATAGCCTTGAATGATTCCTATCATCATCTAGGCTGAAGGTTTTGCCATTCATACGATATCAGATCTGCGCATTAGCAATGAAAAATGATCGCCGATCACACTGCCGGAACATTTTCCAGATCGTACTGGCAGAATAATAGTAGAAAAAACTACAGAAGTATAATTAGACCTAAAACAGGAGAACGTTAATCAATAAACGGCTCCAGCTGTGTTCTCTCGTAGTAAGTGGTAATAAGCGGTCATAACGCACGATTTTACATTCAAACCGGAGTGCTTGAACCAACTTTAAGGAGAAAACAATGTAGAAGGTGCGAGAATTGTGTAAAGCATCGTCCAGGCTCCAACGCTGCCTTCGAGCACACGTGTGCTAAGTTAATTGTGATTCAGAGCCGCGTAAATTTTATCCAGGGCCCATTGCCGGGAGCAGCCATCATACCCGAAGAACGCATCTCAATGACACCCTGAAACGAAAATAACGGCATGTCTTACGTAAAGTCTTCGGAGGCGACCAAATTCATCACGTTCATAAAGTACTTTACACGCATTTTAATATTTTGTACATGATTTAAGATGAAGAGACATGAATTGCAGCGGGGTTGTCGACTGCGTTCAGCATATATCATTAAGGCATATCTAGGAGCAGGCTTGTCTCCTGATTTGGGAATTTCTTACTGCCCTTATTGCGAATCGCCTATAGTACTTCAACCTACTTGGTTGTGATAGCTGTCAAGCGGGATATCAGATAGATTTATAAATGGCGACTGTTTTATTTATGTAAAGTTGGCCGGCTCCTGATTTTCTCACCCATATCGGGTAAGCACATCTAAAATTCCTGCCAGCCTGGATGCCGAAATTGGCCCGATGACTAACTTCTCGGGCGTTTCCGAGAGCGCGTCCGAGAGATTAGGGCTGATTGCAGAGTGTAACACAAAGAATACCTTTTGTGCTTCTCCGAGCTCCATCTTAAAGTCGGCAATCATCCTCGCCGTGATGTACAATGCTTGCACGAGAGCCAACTTGTAGCCGACACAACATCGTGGTCCAACACCGAAGGGTTGGAACGCGGTCTTGCGGTAACTTCCCTTGTTTTCTGGACTAAACCTGCAAGTTGCGATTACGTTCAGGACGTGACACAGACAGTCTCCCTCAGGTTAAGTGATGAGAGGTGTTACTAGACTCGAGCATTTTACGGTCGCTCGCGTCGGCCAATAAGAGTAGCAAAAAGAATCACGACGCAAGAGGTGTGAACATGACCCACGCGTTGCGTTTGACTTACGGTGTCTGTGACTATAAAACAAACAGGTCTTTTTATCTTGTGTTTGTTCATGTCTGAAATTTTGTCAGCAGGCATAATGAGCCGTTTATAATAAATGTTTTCACCTTAGCAAAACCTTCAAATGTGAGGTTCGATACCCAAGGTAGACTAATATACTCCATCAACACTTCAACGGTGGAAAGAAAACTATAGTGAAACGTGCAATTATATTTTTAAAGTAACATTTCGGCAAGCAGTTTTATCGGCTTTCAAATGGCCGGATTGGTATGTCAGAATGCTTCCCTCCTGAGGTTGACCTATTTTGTTGGAATAAATCATATTCAACTTGCAGGCACCGCCTAAAATGTGACCTTGCGAACTTTCGAATGCGTTCATCTCAGTTTCACTTCCCGTCACCACATCTGGATTCGAGAAAACTATAATTTTATAATGAAATGATGTGTAGAGCCAGTTTTTAAAGATCTATACCTATATGTTTTTTTTAAAAATCTGATGTGAGCTTGCTTTCTGCCTTTTTGGGGTCATTTGTTATGAAAAGCTGCAGTATTTTCAACCTAAAACCTGCAACGAAATAAATAGTTTTTTTTCTCATTTTTATGTTTTATAAAAAATTGTGTAATTTCTTTGAGGCTTGATTTATTAGGTGATTGCGAACGCACACCGGGGTTAGAGCGCCATGACTATGCATATTTATAGCTGCTTGCTTAGCTGGACGCAGCGTCGGCAGCGGTAGGGCTGAAAGTAAAACAGGGCAAAGAACAAACAGACTAGCGTAGTTTTCTTTCCTGCTTGCTTATATAATAACTCATAAATCAAACATCGTGTGCTGATGACATTAAATCATATCACCTCTTTCGATGCGGCAAAATGTGCCGATCGATACTTAAAAGTACTTGTGAAATGTGAAGGAACTCAGAATGTCTTGTCTGTTCTAATTGTGTCGCCCTATGCATATCGGTCGCGTTCGAGTTAGGAGGGCTAAAAACCGCTTCGCTTTGATTGACGATCGGCCCCTTAAAATATTTTCAGCTGGTTCTACATTATCAACAAAAAAAAATTTGCCTAGTTCGATAAAAAGGATACGAAGGAGTGGGGAATTAAGTACATATTGCAAACGCTAAACTGTCCGCAGGGTACCTAATACTAAAATGTATACAAGTAGACGGTGAGAGTAACTGTGAAACACTTGTGCACCTGTCAGGGTCAAACTTGTTTGGCTCGGGCCAATACTGCGGATCTCTATGTATTTGGCTGACGGGAGCTAGGATACAGGTCCCGGCCTTGAACGTTGTGCCGTTGTATTCAAAACTTTCTTTTGCAATTCTTGTGTGAAACCTGTAAACAAGAATCATGATCTAGGTGAATGTAGTAAGAGTGTGCTCCCACTGGTGTTTAAACGGAAGCAAAGGGATGCTAGAAATAGTAATAGTAATATTTATTCACAGGAAATATATATAGAGCGACTTGAAATTATACACGTTAAAAAACAAGCCGATTTTAAGATCCCCAAATACCTACACTAATCATTCTTCTCACTTTCCATTTTTTTTACTCTTTTGTTGAGTGCGCGACGTTATTAATAACGAAAATGAATCTGTTAGATTAGGTTTAATTATGTTAACCAATATGTTTTATTACTTATTTACTAAAATATACTAGTATCTTTGAGTTTATATGACGATATATATTTTTCGGGCATAAATCTTACCCTAGATGGTGCAGATGAAAAATATAGAATGGCCTTCGTGCATACTAGACACGTAAAATATAATTATACGTGGAAATAATTCTAGTTTTCGACAGGGTCAGAATAACTACACGCATAATGTACACAATGCTTCAAGATATGTCATGGCTACATTTACGACACACCCTAAAGCAGCAGAAATCAGCCCAGTATGATACAACGATCTGGAATAATTGTGCAGCCCTTTGTTATGTCTGCATTATAGCAAATGGGACGCCTGAACTCCGTGTATATCTTGTCACTTTGATATCCAATATTGAGTTAATGAGGTTGTTTGATAGGGTTTATAAAAAAAAAAGAATACTAGTCTATTAATGCCAACTCACGTGAGTGATGGTGGATATAATCTCAATGTCTCGTTCATGACCTGGGTTGTATATTTCAGTTTGCGTATAGTGGTATCGTAATCCAAGCATCCCTGTTTTCAAAAAATAAAAAAACAGTAGCATTAAAACATTGCAGAAATGTTCTAATGGGTTAGATAACGCTAATGTACCTGCGCGAGATGATACATCATAAAGAAATTTTATTTTTATTTAAATTTTTTTATATACATGGTTATCTTCTAAAGTAATTCATCTAAGTACCCACTATCAAAAGAGTGAGTAATATGGCGCGCGTTTCAATAAGAAGCTAAGAAAGGCTGAATCAGCATTAATGTTATCCATAAGACTAATGTTACAATCATTGAAATACAGACAGATATACAATTAGAGATATTGATTGCTACCCATTTGGGGGAAATTTTATAGATGTTTCAATTGCATGCTTTTTGTGATTTTCAAAGTTTGTACACTAAAGCGGAGGGAGCGATTAGTATATGTAAACGAAATGAAATAAACGGTTTAAAGAAAACAAAACGAAAAATATTCAAGGTGTCAAACAAGGCGCTGGTAAGACACAGCGTCTTGTCCAGTTCTCCCTTCGTTTTCGTCCGTGTTGTTTTGGCGTATTACACCATGATACATTAGTTCACTTCAGTAACATTATAGAGTATATGTTGATGTGGATTATCCTTAGACATCTTTTCTGGCCACCGGCGTTGTATGCCTCTTAAAAGTAAGTTACGTAGGAAATTCAAATTTACATGAAAAACATGTAGCCCGTTCGAAAGCTTAGACGTTTTAGATAGCTGAACGAATACACGCTATGATGTGTTTTTTGTTTTTTTGTTTGTTTGGTATTTTATAGTTTTGAAGGTATGACGCATTTCACGGCATCAATAAGAAATAAGTGGAACAAGCGCCACAACTATAACATAGACGAGCAATTTCTAATTTATGCACGTTAAATAAAAGACCAGAATCACGCTAACATAATCTAAACGAAGCAGTTTGTGGGGGATTTAAAGTCGTTGCGACGACTGGCGGTAGCGCACCGCCAAAAAAAATCATGGCGCAAAAAAAAAAAAAAAAACACGTAACAAATTTAATTTCGAGTCCGGCAGTTGAGCCACGGCGTGGAGGGCGCTTAACATCGGCAGTACTCAGTTTTACATTAGAAATTTTTAGGCAACCGTTTTCGGACGTACGGTACGGGCCGATGGGCCTCCCGGTACGAACTGCGCTTGTGCTACTGCGGAAAAGTCGCGCACGCAAACTTTCTAATAAAAAGCTGCAAACCGATGAGCGCCTTGATGGTTCATTTTTGACGCTGCGTTTCAATTAGCTCCATTAGTTCGTACTGTGGGCTGCGCTTGGAATTGAAGTAAGAGAGATTGTAGCCTAAAACGATGTAGTTAGCGCATGCCTCGTCTGTCTAGACAATGGGTTGACAAAGCGTACCTCAAGGCGCGCATTGTGATTTTTTTTTTCTTATTGTGCGGAAAACTAATAGAACAGCATTACCGAACTTCCAATGGCAGCCTTCACTTCCTGCCTCACTTTCTCTTGAACTTCCGAATGCATAGCCAGTAGCAAGGACATGAAGCTTAGCGTTACCGACGTGGTCTGAAAACTGCGGGAACAAAATACTTTAGAAGGCGATTACTATTTACTTAAGCATTTAACATTTCAACATTGAAAAAAAAAATACAGGCATTGGAAATTATTTGCAACTTTAATTGTTCCCAAGTGTGATAAATTTTGGGAATTTGAGCTTTGGATCGTGTGATTTTAAGCTTTCAAAAATTTTGCGCAACTATTATTTTAGGAATTTGTATATTTAAACAAATTTAAGAAAGAACACAAATTACTACCCTACTCTTTCTCGATAATGTTTTAATAATAGGCACGAGTTGAAATGGTAAAACATCGAACACCTCTTTGAAAACGGGTACGAATATGCCATAGTTTTAAATCCATGAATTTATGCAATGCTGAAATTTCGGTTTTGTTTTAGAAGCAACTGAACCATAGTCACTGATAAATTAAGGAGAACGGGTTGTTTTGAAAATCTGGTACATTCAAGTACAACTCCACTGTCCAACACTCTGCCCTATTGGCCGATCACTACGGTCAACAACCAATCAGGAAGCAAGAATCGTAAACCTAACAGGCCCCATCCGGCGTTTCTTTTCACGCAAGAGACAAAACAGTTTATCAACGTGCTTCATGCGATACAAAGCTCATGATTATGTACAATACCGAATTTCAAGACGCAGTCGATCAATCATTGAATGCATTTCCTCGTCTGCGTTCTCAACCACTGGCTTTAAAGCGGTTTTCATTTCGCAAGCAAATGTATAGTCACTGGCTGCTTAAAAGATGCGGAGCGTGGTATCTTGCGTATACGTCGATCGCTTCCTGATTGGTATTCTGGCGTTCTTATTTGCTGATACCAAAATTTTCATTAGCTGCGGAGCGACATTCGCCTGCACGTGTCACACGCCTCTTTAATTGTCCGTAACAGAATTTTAAAAAAATAAAATTTTCCCCTTATGTGTGATTGTCAACTACACATACAGGAGGCACGGACACTGGTAGATTGTGTTCTCTAGATTTATTGGTCCGGACTTCCCCATTCCATATAGAACAATCGAAAGGACAATTAGATTTGATTTCGTCCTGATAGGGTAAAGGCTACATCAAGATTTTCTGACGAAGAGGCAGTTTTCTCGCTACTGGATCCGTGCACCGTATGTCACTTTCATGACAGAGTGCTAGATAACTACAAAATCCAACTTAAATTTCTCGGTTGCGGCCTCACATTTGGCAATTTCCGCCATTTTTTTTTTTTCATTTTCGTTTACACGTGCGCGTACTGTTTGTTTCCGGTAGAACGCTGAAGCAAGCAGGCGGCTTTGTTGACGATACGCCCCAAGATGTACGATCCGCAAGGTTTTTTTTACGCTAGATATAGGCTCGCCTCGTAGCGGCATTCGCAGTGGGTGATTTCGTCACCGACGAGCCGACTTCTCCAGCGCCGACTCGGGTGAAATCCAAATAAAGACCGGTTTGTATATTAATACACAAACCGACCCGGCAATAATTGCTATGAAAGAGTCGATTGTAAAGTAATAATAATGGACTCATTCATACAAGTAATGCCATCTGATTGCAACCGCCTTCTAGCACCTCTGGTAAACACACCATGAATTGAAAGATTTTAAGCGGAGTTAACAAACCACCTTTGCTAACACGCCGGACTAAGTATTTTATAGCAAAATTGGTTATTTTATGTGTATTCCCAGGTAGCACACTTGCTTGGTTTAGCTAGGCCGGGATTGGCACTTATTTGTGATAGCTTGGCCACGACTGCCCAGCCATCTCCGTCTGTATACCAGCCTGGTGATTCACAGTCTTTCCTTACTCCAGAAAGCCGCGGAACGACCAGGTAACGTCTTTCCTGGTTGACCATTCAATTTCCTTGGTTATTGACGGCCACGGTAAACAGGCCGCTGCCAGTATGTCATATACTCTGGCTGTCTATTGGATTTCTTCGGTCAGAGATGGCCAAGGTAGATATGCCTCTGCCAAGCTTTCAGGTTCCATAGTTCCATAGAGGCCCACTCAATACAAGCAACAGCCAGTGTTCGGGCATTTTGCCAGATCGAAGATAGGGTGAGCCCAGGAATGGCAAAGAATTACCGCTATGCACTGTTCCTTGGCTCAAGCTCGTATTTTATTGGACCCACAATGCCCGCTGAAAGCCACTGTTACTCTATAGTTCGTTTAACTTTTTTACTTTTTTTTATTCGTATGAGCGTTCTCTTAATATATTTTGGTGCTTTGTGGCACGTGCCCTCGCACTAGAAAGTGACGTTTCAGAGTTAGAAGTTTGTTTTAGATAGAGACATAAAAATGAACACGTCTTTCCCATTGAAAAAAACGATTTGAAAACAGTTTGGATATTAACAGGCCAAACCCGAAATGAACTGGTTGTAGTGGAATTGTACCGGGCAATTTGGGAATCAAACTATCGATATTGGTCGAACTTGTAGAATGAACAGGCCAAGGTGGCACCTGAGTTGGCTGAACTGTCAATTGTACAGTTCAAACTGGTAGTTCCCCAGGCAAAACTGGTAGCTTGAACAGGCGACACTGGTGTCATAATGTTCAAGCTGCCAGCCAAACAGTTTGAACTGGCAGTCGAACTGTTCTAACTGGCAGTCAAATATTTACAAGTGGCAATAAAACTGGTCTCACGGTACTAAACAAGTCATACCAGTGGAACTGGAGAAAGTGCTCGTTGTGCTGGTCAAGCTAGTAGCATGCCGAGTTTGAAATAATTAACCATTGGAATCCATCCAATTGGCCTTTTTCATTTGGATGGAGTTGGTGTCACTCTTTCAAATTTAACTCCCAAGCTGGAAAACCACATTAATCACATTTTTTCTCCATTAACAAATTGTGCTTTTACACTCCAAACGGCTCACACTGAAAAAAAAAAAAAATCTGACAAAACAAGTTTTTATTAATTTCGTAGGCAAACATGTGTTTCTGTAATCATTTCCACAGCTAGCAGAGAAAATGTCTGGCTTTTACAGTACATTTCCTCTATGCGGGTGTCGCATCACAGGTTAGTAGGACAAATAAAAGCTTTATTTTGACGCATGTACGGTTGTACGTAGCTTACAATAATAGTTGGTGAGGAGTCAAGAATTCAGTCATGCAGTCTCCTCATAGGTGTTCATATCCCTGTCCCAGCAAATCGTTCCCACTTGAACTTTATAACTTTACCGCTTTTTACCGCGGCCTTTATCCACCCTGGCTTCCACCGAGAAGCCACTTCCAGCACAAGTGCCCGAGGCGGGGAGCCTCCCACGTGATGTTGGAAAAGCGCGGGAAAAATCCCGCACCCCCAGATTATTCAGGCGCCTGGAATGCGACAGTGCCCCGGGACCGGAGATGATGCAGTGTCCCCGCGCGGAGCGCGGATGCCTTGAAAGGCATGGAGAATAGAAGGGTAGGAGAGGGCATGACGTCGGCCGCGTAGCCTCCACAAGCCATGCTCCCCTGACGCCTCGCCTCTTTCTCATTTTCCTCCTTACTCTCCTCACTTACCATGCCAACGTGACCACATCACGTGACCGTAGCTAGCCTTCGTCTTGCTATGGGGTACTGGAATACACCACAGTCTAGACTTCGATCTGATAAAACCTATCGGACGGAGCGCGCGCAAGCCTGCAAGGAGTCCTTCTACAATCAACCATCCATCTCGCACGTGACATGTCACGCGCACCAATCGCCAGAGAGATCTGCGGTCACGCTGGGCACAAAATCGTTTAAACTTTTTATGACTAGGCTTCACCAATATTGCAACGTGCCCCCTCCTATAGTACTTCTAACCTCCCTGTTGAAAGGGGAGAGCTGCTCACGTGCCAGGACAGGAAGCGCGCGGGCCAATCAGCGCAGCCCTCGCGCCCGCTCAAAGCGGCAGTTTTGAGTCGGCGGCGGCGGCAGTTTCCGGAACCAAAAAATAAAAACGGATCTGGCGCGACGGTTGGGTCTTCTTCGTTTGCGATGCTGTTCGGCTTGGGGAGGTTACAAGTTGTCTTCAAGCTGTGTTTGAACAGGATAGTTTGCCGGAGCCTTGAGTGCTGCCTCTTCCGATGGTTCCTGTGACTGATGACGTCATCGGCCTGAGTTCCACCCGCTCGCAGGCGAAATGGCTGCATCCCAGAACGGCGTGTTCGGACTTCGCTCCGTCCTAATGGCAGCGTGGGTAATGGCTGTCTCTAGCCTCGTTTACATGAAAGCGACTTCAGTGCATCGACTCCACTCGTTCTTCGAACGAAGCGGACGCGGCAACGTTTACATGAATGCGCACCAAGCCCTACACGAAGGTGGCACCACGCCGTGTCAAAGTTATGCAGTGCCGGCACCAGCCGCACCACGTTTTCCGGTGTATCGCACGTGGAGGCCTTTCAACGTGTTGAGTGAACAAAAGATCGTGCCCGCTGTCTTCGGTGCTCTGGAAGAAGTTACAAGACGGAAGAAACATCAAAACCCAAGCGTTTAGGGGTCCAGGCCGGGCCGCCGGGTCACTCTGGACCAGAGGCGACGTGTGTGCGCACGCTTTGAGGACACGCGCTTCGCCGCGCCAGACCTCGCCGATCGCGGCCGGACCAACCGGACCCCGAGTCCGAAAGGCTCTTGCGCACCCAGGAAAGGCACCGACGTAGGAGCTGCTCGTTCTGCGCTACCATGCAGTGCTGTACAGTGCTCGGAGCTCTCGGCGTCATTCGCGCTTGCGCCGAAGCTTTTGGGACCCCTTCGGACGCGCAATTCGTACTTCGCAAGGCTAGGACGGGGGTCACACTCACCGAGTAGATCGGCTATATTCCGCTTACTTGTGACGGCAATAAAAGCTCGCGTTTGTTCTCGGGAAAAAATTACGGGCCACCATACGGGACCGCTCTCCGCGCCGCCGACGAGGTTGGCCGCCGGCTTGTTCTCAGCTGTTCACTCGGTCCCGCAGCGAGCACCTTCCCATAATCCTCCCCGTTCCAAAATGCGATGCGACCTCCTTCTAGATGGGCTGAATGAATGCGCACTCGCCATCTCGATCCATCTCTGTCTAGCGACTTGAATGCGATGCGCTTTCTTTGCGCATTATGCCGTTTACATGACCGCATTGAATGCGACAACTGGATTCGATGCGACTAAGTCGCATTCATCTAAACGCGGCCCCTGTCTCCGCGCCAGCGAGTCAGGTAAGCAGGCTCGACCTTTTGGATTCATTTTCATAATCACGTGCATGTGGAACTGAACGTTTCTGCAACCCGATTCGGAACAGCTATGCTAATAATACAACCGCCAGTGTACATGCACCTTCAGAGATCCCTACCACAGTGGTTGCGAGTAGCACAGCGGACGACAGACTGGGGAGGCAGGAAGGGGGGTAGCAACAGCAGGATCTTTTCATTCCTAGGCGTTGCTTTACGTAAAGGCTGAACCGCTTGTAAGCGATGAAGCGAGCGACGAGAGTCAGCGACGAGCGGCGGAGATTTCCCCCGGCCGCTCGTCGCGTCTCTAGGTTTTTGGGTTTCTAGAAATCGTCACTCATCGCCTTCGTCGCTTGCTCCCGTCGCTTTCATGCGCTTTGCCACGTCGCTTTTATGCGGTTTGCCGCGTCGCGCGAGTGACCGAACGACAGCGTAGCGGATTGTCGTCACTTGTCTCGTCGCTCGCCAAATGGCTTACATGCGGTTTATACTTAATTGCCTCGAGACTGGCACCACACGTACGATTAGCACACGCTTCCCTATTCCCTCTTATGCTGTTTATGATAATGCATATTTTTTTATTCGTGGCATTAGTTATATGCTGTTTTAGAACAGACAGTGCAAATAAATCTGCCATGGTTCTAATTGCTGATGTTTATTTTTAATTCAGATGCCGTTTGCCGCCACCGGAACCCCGACACTCCAGAAGGTGTGGAGAAGCTCGCGAACCGGCTGGGGCACATGAATAGTATCATGAAAATTTTTTTGCGTTGCAAATATGTTTTATGTTTATTTTTGCGGTCTGCAGTATGTTTTTTTTTTTTTTTTTTAAGTAAAGTGAAGTTTATTAGTTGGCGACCTGTGTGGTCAATATGACCGGTTAAAATTAAAGTAAGGGTGCAAACGAGCTGGTGAACATTGCACATGGTTGAAAAACCCCGAGACTGCGGGTAAACGACACAACACTAAAAAGGCTCTAGATACCTTTTAGTGTTGTGTCGTTTACCCGCAGTTTCGGGTTTTTTTCAACCAGGTTAAACTTGTTTAAGTGCATGGAGTGGACCATGCAGTGTACACAGTTGTAGAGTATTACCAGTATGCACATTTTCGCAGTAAGACTGGTATGCACAGTTTCATAGTAAGACCAGTATGCACAGTTTCAGTTTGTCCAGTTCTACCAATTTTACCAGTGGCAATAATTTCGCTTGAAGTGGCCCAGTTTGCAAAATTTTGCAATAGGGCCGGTAGCTGCCCTGCTGGTCCGGATTGAATTTCTATTGTCTAGCCAAGCTTGGCTGACCACTCTGCCACTAATCTGGCCCATGCTGTATATACAATAAAGAGCCAAGCTTGGGGTACCACTGGACTTCCCGCCTGGCCCAGGCCATAATTTCAGCGGTGAGCCAGTCCATGGCTATACGGGGAGCTGCCGGTGGTCACCAGACTAGTATACCAGGATGGGGCTGCCTAGCGCCATGGGGCAAAACAATCTAGGCCCAGTGAAACTTCCCCGCCTCCCAGTCTGGCTCAAGCTTGAGCCGGTCATACTGTGCTGCTTGGGTTCTTATTGTGTTACCTTTGTCAATTGTTATTTGTGTGTCCTCCCCCTCTCATAATTTTTGATCAGATCAAGCATGATGAGGCACATTTCCTCGATACTTATCTTCATAAACCTGCGGAATACGATCTTAGGCGTACCAATTATACAAAACCAAATGTTAGAACTAACTATGGAACTCCAAAACTAGATTACCAAATTCCTAACTTACTAAATAAACACCCAAGCATTGTGCAAATAGCACAGCAGAGTAGAACAATCCACCCGTTCACGAAGAAAGTTAGAGCATATTTCCTTGAAGCTGATCGCCTACCTTAGATTATTTAATGTGGCTTTTATGTGTTCTTATTGCAAATATAGTGCCTTTAATATGTCCTCCTTTCATGGTGTTATGAAGCGATGTGATGTGTTAATATCAGACGTGCGTTGGATGATTTTGTTGATAATGACGATGTTAATGTCAATGAATACAGTTTTCTCTGGTTTTTGTTTTATGATTTTTTTTTTTAGTTTGTTTCTTTTTTTATTTTTATTGTGACCCGTTGCTTATGTTTATATGGAATGTATTGATTGGAATGGTTTACTGATGCCTATGTTTATTTGAATATTGTTGCTAAATTATTGTATGCTGTCTCTGTTGACTGCTACGGGCAGGGGAGGGGGGGGGGGGGGGGGGGGGGGCTTGCGGCCTCGTCAGAGGCTTTTTGCCTTCTTTTGCTGCAGCCCCCCAGACATATGCATAACACATGTATGTCTGAAATAAACTATTTTATTCTATTTTATTCTATTGCACTATCGGTCCTGAGGTTATTAGATAATTAAATTTGTCACTATTCGATGCTCGCTTCTCTTCGCGATTATTTTGGCTCGCGATGTCGATCGCCGTGAAAAAGTACTCGAAGGATCTGGAAAACACTGCCCCCGTTCATAGACAGATATCGGACGGAAGTTACGGACAGGCATATTCCGGCAAGAACTCAAACCGTATGTTGCGTGGCAAAAGAGTCTCGTGCGGCTCGAAATATCGCTGTACGTCATGTTGTTGAACGTACGCCCTTTGAGTTTCTATGCGCGGGGATTGTGATTTTTTTTTCCTACTCACTAGAATTTTTTGGCGTCGTGGTTGACTGTGTTTTGAGGAGCACTCGGCAACACAAACAAGCGTAATCTGGATCCCGATTTTTATAGGTGCCGGTCTTTATTAAGAGTCTAGACGAGCTGGGTCTCGAGAGGTCGACCCGCCGGTAACCCAAGCAGCAACACCATAGCCACTGACAAACTTAGAAGGGAAGGGTGTGTTTCTAACGCGAGGTCCCTGTCACGAGCTCCAAGTATTCCGCCGTGCTATGTCTGCTTGCGCACTATTGAGGTACCGTGACGCCGCAGCGTTATAGAAGGCAGAAAGCTCGGAGCTGCAGGTGGCAAAACAAAATATCCATCCTGCCGTCTTCAGCTTCTCGCGGTGACTATAAACCCCCCGAGAACGACTCCAAAAGTAAAAGGAAAAAAAAAGGGTAGTTTAAGCGTGGGTTCAGTCGGGCCGAATACGTTGCTAGTCGAACTTATTGAGCTTTGCCGTCGACAGAGTCGCTTGCCCGGCATCTGCGTCTCACTGACACCAAAAATGACGCCAATATTTGATCGTCTGCATGGGAACTAAATGGAAAAGTCGGGAGAGCTGTTATTCAACATGGAAGAACATGGCTTAGTTTAAAGAAAAACACGTGCAGTTCAAGCGGTCTATAGATCTGTGCTTACCCTCCGAGAAAAAGAACAGTCATCAGCAACACCACCTCTTCTTCGGAGAGACGACGAAGGTTTTCCTGTCTGCCTGTTGGTAATGTTTTTTAAGTATGTAAGATAAATTCTTTGGGTAAGGTCATCAGTAAGATAACACTGGTGAAGCAGGATGTTGTGAAACTCCGTGCAGTGAACTCAGCAAAACCAGCGGGGCCTATCTGAAAAACACTGGTTTCTAGTTTTCTCGTGAAAGTCTACCACCTTTCTTTCTTCGTCCTAGAGCTGTAAATTTTAACCGTTTAAAAAAAGCTCAGAAAGCAGTGAAAGGGCTTAGAAAATTATGTGAATACCTTAACATTTTCAGTGAGATCAATTTCAAACTCACGAAGGTTTACAATCTCTGATATATAAAAATTAAAAAAAAAAGATATATGGTTTTGTTGTTTAGACATCATCATCATCATTTATTTTCCTTGAAAGCCCGTGGGGCATTATACAAGGGGGTGGCAATAGAACAAAAACAAATAGAACAGTAGACACAATTATAACACTGTAAGCTAGCTAGGTAGGTTAGATAAAGAGAGGGTAATGGCTTCAACAAATTTAGTAGTATTATTAATACAAACGATGTTATGAGGTAGTGAATTCCAATCCTCGATGGCCAATGGTAGTGTGGAAGTCTGGTGAGAAACAGTTATTGATCGAATTGGACGTAATTTACATAGGTGATCTAGACGCGGGAAAATACGATGGGGAGGTGATAGCAGTGATTCTTTAAGGTGGCTATTGTGATAGAAAATTCGATGGAGGAGAGAAAGGCGTGATACTCGGCGGCGAAGGGAAAGTGAATGAAGGTTAGCTGATTGGCGTAATCCTGATATGCTGGTATATGGTGAGTAGTTGTTATAAATAAAACAAAGGGCTCTGTTTTGGACGGATTCTAGATTATTTGCAAGGTAGGACTGCCATGGGGACCATATAGATGAGGCGTATTCTAATTTCGATCTTATAAGAGTAGTATACGCTAGTCGTTTTACGGAGGGTGTAGCAAGTTAGCAAGTTTAAGGTTACGGCGCAAGTATCCGAGAGAACGGTTAGTATCAGAAATAACAGAAGTTATGTGAGTAGTCCATGATAGGTCAGAGGTGAGATGAACACCCAGGTACTTATAAGATGAGCATGCTATTACTTGAGTGTAAGAGAGGTAATACGAAAATGGTGTGGCACGCGAACTGCGGGAAATTGATAGGGATCTACATTTATTGAAGTTTAATGTCATCTGCCATTTTTCACACCAATGGATTACAGACTCTAGATCTTCCTGGAGAGCATGATGATCATGGTTTGAAAGAATGGGTCGGTAAATGACACAATCGTCGGCGAACAGCCGCACAGAAGAAGCGATATTAAGGTGGAGATCATTAATATAGATTAGGAACAGAAGGGGGCCCAGTACGGTTCCCTGGGGGACACCAGGGAACCGCACAGTTCGGAATATCGAGCAAGTCCTTACCACGCAATCATCTTATTTCAAGGTATATAATAATTTCATTAATGAAAGGTGGATATTTAGAGGGAAACCCGCCACGGTTATTCGAGTGCTTCCCAATTATCATTCGCCTATATCATAAAGACATTTTTCGTGAAAATCAGCTTTTGTTTTCTAAATTTTTAATGGCCTCAAAAATAAAACGAAAATTAAACTTGCCTTTATCATTATGATATCCCCTAGGAACACAGAGACTGTGGTGCCTGTATTATGCCTGAATTGTGATTTGCTGTGCTTCGTTGCAGGGAGGTTTGGGTGTAGTAAACTCGTAAGCTGGCCGAGTTGGTGAACGTTGAACATAATGGAAAATTGCCCACAAGGAGACAAGGGCACACGAGGAAGGGACATAGAACACAGACAGGCCCGTGCTCACAAGTCTGGTATATTAGGTGAAGAAAGGAAAAATGAAACAGGATTCATTCATGACAGGGCCGGCACCAAGAAGTATACGGTTGAGTCACAGTCAAATGTTCGCAAAAAGGCAACTTCTTTTTCTCTGAATGCAGCCGACGTCTGACTAACGCAGCGATCGGCCAGACTCGAGATGGTAAATGTGTAGAGCACCTCGCGCGTTTGTTTTTCTTTAAAGCGCCCAATGATTGAAGATTTTCTTTAAACATGGCGTCCACGTACAGGTCTTACAACGCACCGAAAGTTGACCTCCTACAGTATATGTTAAAGACAGATCGTGCTCTTACAGCCGGTCATTCAGACACCGCCAAGTCTCTCCGACATAGCTTCTTACACAGGAAAGAGGAATGCTACATACAACCCGCGACGAACAGGGCACGAAACATGATTGTAAACCTGAGACTGGGGCAGAAAAGAGAACACAACAGAAGGTAGTAAAAGAGGAGGCAACGTTGCCTCCTCTTTTACTACCTTCTGTTGTGTTCTCTTTTCTGCCCCAGTCTCAGGTTTACAATCATTTTCAACTTACACCAGCTCGCCTGCACTCTGACTATTTTTTCGTTAAGGGAACAAAAGGCCGCACATGTTTTTTTTGTTTTTTTTGTGACACATGTTTTTTGACAATTTGTCCGCTTTAGGCGAACCTTTAAAAAAATTTGTCACGTGTGTTTAGTGGCTGAGGGTGCTACGGGCACACCATACCTACTTTCCACTTAGATTATGCGATATTTTGTGTAGATACGGCATAACCGCCACTCGCTTTTCGTCAACAGGGCACCTAGTTTTCCCACCCCCTTTTACCTTCTTTATTAGCGTTCCTATTACTTCCATTAAGGTCAAATCGATAGACTAAAATCTTCAGGGTTCCCGAATAACGTCTTAATGGAAGTGATTGGAACGCGGGTAAAGAAGGTAAACGGAGGTGAAAAAACCAGGCGCCCTGTTGAAAAAACCGTATGCTGGTTATGCCCACAAAATATCGAAAAATCTAAAAGAAGTGGCAAGTAGGTATGATGTGCCCGTAGTACTGTCAACCCCTAAAAAATGCGAAAAGTTTGTTTTAAGGTTCGCGCCAAAGCGGAAATATTATCACAAAACACGTGCCACAAAAATATGTGCGCCCTTTCGTTACCTGTTCATCGGGCGTTGTATATAACAATTTTCTTTCTTGTGGAAGATGCTATGTCGGACAGACTGGACGGAGTCTGAATAAGTGACTGCGAGAGAACAATCTTTCTTTAACATCAACTGTCGGATGTCACCTTTCAGTGAATTGTGAGACCTGTAGTCCACACCGCCTTTAGAAAGACATCAATCATTCGGCGCTTAAAGAAAAAAAAAACGCGCGAGCTGTTCGAGGCGTTTGCCATCTTGAGTCTGGCCGATTGTGGCGTTAGTCAGCGGTCGGTTGCTTTGAGCGAAAAAGAAGTTGCCTGTTTGCAAAATTTTGACTGTTACTGAACTGCATACCCTCTTGGTTCCGGTGTCCCCTGTTATAAATGAATCGTGCTTCAACTTTCCTTTCTTCACCTAATACACAAGAGTTGTGAGTACGCGCCTGTCTATGTTCTGTGTTCCTTCCTCGTTTGCCCTTGCCTCTTTGTGCTCCATTTTTCATCATGTTTGAGGTTTGGGTGGTTTCGAATGAGCTGTACACACAACACACTCCTTTGATCTCTGGGTTCACCAGAATTACCCAGGCAGGTTTTAGCTTCTTCAGGAACAGTGTGTGTGAAGAGCATGTCTTAATGATAAGTTTTTAATAGCTTCTGTTTCTGTGTAGGACTTTGAATTTTAAGTACTCTTGCATTTTTAGGAATCCCTTGTGACAACTGAAGTTAATCGCAAAGGGGGAAGGTTTATCGTGCCCTTCACTTTATCACTTGATTTTTTTTCGGAAGCTGTGAAGTCATAGCCCCGCTGCGCTATTCCTTGGCACGTTATGATTAAGGTTCCGTGTTTTGGAGATAAATGCGATTACCTCAGGAAAACACACGCCGGTAAACTTTTCGTAAATTCAGATTTGTCCGACAAACTGCGAGTTTCGATGCACCAATGCCAATCAAAATATAAAAAAAAAAGATATGCCGTATTTTAAGTTTGGCCAGTGCACAGATCAATGGTCACGACAAAATGCCACCCCAGTTAGTTTTCTTTCAAATCTTGGACCATTGAAAAAAGATAACTTGCCGCTTATCTCCTCAATATTCATTCAGAACAACAGGTACTTTCTGGTAATGACAAAGGGCACTGTTCCGGGTCCCAGTTTAGGCCCTACTATGTCTTCTTGATAGGAAGGAGGAGTTGTGTTTCTGTACCATTGAAAGCTATGATCGAAATATATCTTACAGAACGGGGAAGATGGGTTGGACAGTTGAAGCTTCTACATTACACCCTTTACTACTCCACCCTCGAGACCGCGGGATAGGTATATGGATAGGATGGGATAAATATAAGGTTCTCAGCGACTATCACGAACATTTTATTGCTTTTAAGATATCGACATTTATCGAAGTTGCCCTCGTGCACAACTTTTGTCGTGGAACAAATTACTATTACCAATGGGAATGGCGTGAACGCAAAATCCATCTAAAACCAAATTGATACAAGCGCTTTCTCTTGAATGTCGCATACGTTTACACCCGGATATTATTTATTCATACTGAAACGAAACGACCAAACACAGCAAAAATAAACTCAATTTCGGAGAATTGGGAATCTAACGAAACGTAAACTCCGATGGACTCCAAACTTTCGTCAAAAAACCAACTCCAAAAAAGCACCCTCCAAATTGGACGGTATAAAAATCCCGAAAACGCGGAATCCTAGTTATGATTCAACCCTTGATGTCGCTAGTCTACAGTGGAAGTACTGTAAACGACTTATTTTTCGCGGGCTGAATTTTTCGTGGTTTAGGTTGTGGGGTTATCCCCGTCCAGCTCCCCCCGCCCCGAGTGACACAACACCACTCTCGATATAAACATTTAATTACTCACATTGATGAGTTGTCGTGTCTATGCTGGTCGCACCCCACAATCCACACGTCCGTCCAGCATGCAGTCCGTCGCACCACTCCTAGTCCCCACTAACCCTGCGAGCACCGCCGGTTTTTCCCTCGCACCCCTTGTTTCCCGGCG